TTTTTTCTTCAGCCTCTCTTCTCTTGGAGTTCCCTCCTCCAAAGATTCAAAAATAATTCACTGAAAAGGACCTTCCTAGCTCACCCTGTTGATGGGTCACCCACTTAGTCAATAAAGTAAAGCTATTGTCAGACCTGTGGTGAAAAACAAAAAGTGGCCCCAACAGTCCCAGCATAAGGACAATGGTCACAAAAGCTAGGTCTCTGTGCCCCGAGCCATGGACTTTGCTGAACCCCGAAGTCTTCCAAGCAGGTGATTAGAAAACCTAAACACTCTACTTAAGTGAGTTTTATTCATGTACTTGGCCTAGCCTAAGAACTGAACAAGGAAACATTTGTTTCCCTAATTTAAAAAATAATAAAATAAAAAGGTAGCTTAAAATGGATTAGCTGAACGGTAGGGAAGGGAAGCAGTGAAACTGCATAGTTTCCATTTGGGGCTGATGCAGGGCTGGGGCAAGACGCTGATTCCATTTGGTGGCTGAGTGGGACTTGGCAGTGGGGGCGGGTGGGGTGCAGGTGTGAATTAAGAGTGTTTCTTTGGATGGTGGAGGCTGGGAAGGACTGTGGGGTTTTTTTGTTTTGTTTTGTTTTGTTTTTTCTGGTTCAATGGGAAGAAAAGGTTCCCTAAAGCACCTGAAATAGGAGCAGGAAAGGAAGAGTAGTCTTGGGAAGGTGGGTCTTCATTTCAAAAAGAAGCCTTCCAAGACCCTTTTACCTACTAGGCATTCAAAACTCTGCGCTTCTTAGACAGAACACTTGGGCTCTTGTGGTTCGTTTTCAAGTCTATCGCCCACTATGCCTCAGGACTATGAGGACAAGAACTTGTTTATCACCAGACTCCCAGCCCTAATCCTGTTGCCTAGCACAGCCGCCACTTAATGGATGCTTATTGGAAGAATGAAAAACTAAAGAGAACACTAGATCAAAGCACAGGAAAACGCTAGTCTAGAATCCATGAAGTGTCTCAGATTGGTCTAGCAGAGCAGGATGGGGCATTTTGTTTGGTTTTAACAATGTTTTAAATATTTTTGAATTTGCTAAAAACAAAAGCAAACAACAACAACAAAAACCAGCTGCCATCAAATTAGTTTTGACTCATGGTGACCCCCATATGTCTCAGAGTAGAACTCTGCTCTGTAGGGTTTTCAATGACAGAATTTACGGTTGTGAGATGCCTTTGGGTGGACTTGAACCATCAACCTTTCAGTTATCATCCGAGCACATTAACCTTTTATATAACCCAGGGACTCCCTGAATCCATTACCAACATTTAAAAATTAGAATATACAGACCCAAAAGAAACACAAACACACACACACCCCACAAAAGATGTTCCTTTTGAAAAAGTACCTCTCAAATTCCCAAATATCAAGAACTGACTAGAATTAAGTATTGCCACTACAGTCAGCCCAGTTTTCCAGAATCTTCATCCATTCTAATTCTTCACATATACATATTACTTCTGGTCTCTCACATATGCCTCACTTAAGAGATATAGAAACAATTGAACAGAGATGATAAGAGATTTGCCCAAGAATAAATGATGTGCATTAAATCACATGACTGGTAGGAATGGTAATGGTGTGCTTTCCAGATTTGGTTTGGAATCCCTGATTGGTTTTCTTATTTACTGGTAACATGATATTTCAGATATTTCAGCTAGCTCAACCCTACAGAGACTTAGTTTCCTCCTTTGTAAAATGAAAAATAAATAAATAAATAAATAAAACATCTTATAAATTCTGGTGAGAATAAAAAAGAAATAAAGTAACCAAATCATCTAGCTTTGGATCTGTGCTACTTAATAAATTAGAGGCTTAATAAATGTCCATCCCCTTCCTTTTCTGCTTGGCCGTATGACAAACTTACACTAGCACATCGTGCTAAACAGTGAACAGTTCAAAATTAGTGACTAGGGGTTTGTCTAGTTGGGTTTTTACTATCAATCAGTCAATCGCAGAGCATGTTTGTTGTTACTTCTCAGTTTTAACAAGGACCCATTCGAGGACAGTGTCCTATTCCCTCTGGGTTTGGAGAGGAACCCCTCTCCAACATCCTACTGTAAATCCCTTTTACTAATTGATGTATTCTCATTAGCTTCTTCCAGAAGGCAGAGTAGAAGAAATGTGAGAGGCTGGTATCTGCATTTGATATCTGCCCCTTCTCCTTCATTCTAGGATACTGACCTTTATCAAGAAGATGGAGCCCCTGGGGGACACAAGTCATTATTGCATTCTTTGCTAATCAGAGGGTTGGAGGTTTGAGTTCACACAGCATGGCCTTGGAAGAAAGGCCCCGGGATCTACTTCAGAAAAATATCTGCCATTAAAACCCTAGTCTAACACATGGGCTGCCATGGGTTGGAGTCAAGTGGACTCAAACTGATTGTTGTTGGTTATCAAGAAGCTTTGGAGTCACCAGCAAGACAACAGAGGGTGGAAGAGAATGAGGCTGGAGAATTTTTCTGTGCCTAGTCCCTGAGTTGACCTCCACTTTAACAATCTAGTTCTATCAGGTAGTCCCTACTTTTGCTGAGCCATGTAACCATTCCCACCTTCTACTCTTTCAGTCTCAGTTGGTAATAGTAGATCCCCAGTATTGCTGCTGTTAGGTTCTGTTGAGTCAGTTTCAGCTCATAGCAACTCTGTGTACAACAGAAGACAATAGTGCCTGGTCCTGTGTCATTCACACTATCTTTGCTGTGTTTGAGTCATTGTTGTAGACACTGTTTCAGTACGTCTCCTTTAGAGTCTTCCTCTTCTTCGCCTACCCTCTACTTTACCAAGAATGATGTCCTTCTTCAGGGACTGGTCTCTCCTAATAATATATCCAAAGTACATGAGACAAAGTATCAAAATCCTCTCTTCTTAGGAACATTCTGGCTGTACTTCTTCCAAGTTGATTTGTTGGTTCTTCTGGTAATCCACGGTACTTCAATATTCTTCACCAATTCCAAAATTCAAATGACTCTTTATTCATATCCCAGCTTTCACATACATGGCTTGAATCAGGTGCACCTCCAAGTGACATCTTTGCTTCTTAACATTTTTAAGAGATATTTTGCATCAGACTTTCCCAATGCAATGTTGTTCTTGTTGTTGTTAGGTACCATGGGTGCAATCCTTCCTGTTTGGGCACATCTTCCTCTTTTTCTCTGACTCTCCACCTTAACAAATATGATATCCTTTTCCAGCGACTGGTCCTTCCTGAGAATATGTCTGAAGAAGGAGAGACAAAGTCAGGCAATCCTGGTTTCTAAGTAGCATTCTGGCTGTACTTCTTCCAACACAGATTAGTTTGTTCTTTTGGCAGTCCATGGCACTTTTAATATTCTCCTCCAATACCATAATTCAAATGTAACAGTCTTCCGTATTCACTGTCCAACTGTTGCATGTGTACAAGGTTACTGCAAATACCATGGCTTGGGTCAGGTGCACATTAGTCCTCAAACTGGTATCTTTTTGCTCATGAACACTTTAAAGAGGTCTTGTGCACTAGATTTGTAGAATGCAATATGTCGTTTGACTGCTGCTTCCACGAGTATTGATGGTTGATCTGAGCAAAATGAAGTCTTTGACAACTTCAATCTTCTCTCCTTTTATATGGATATTGTTTATTGGTCCAGTAGTGAGGATTTTTGTTTTCTTTACATTAAAGTACAATACATACCAAAAGCTGTGGTCTTTGATCTTCATCAGTATTTTAAGTTCTCTGCTTTCAGAAAGCAAAGTTGTATCATCTGCATATCACAGGCTGTTAATGAGTTTGTCTCCAATCCCGATGCCACATTTTTCTTCATATAACCCAGCTTCTGGAATTACTTGCTCAGCATACAGTATTTTAATTTCTCTTCGCTTTCACCAAGCAAGGTTGTGTCATCTGCATATCACTGGTTGTTAACAAGCTTCCTTCATTATTGATGCTATAGTCTTCTCCATATAGTTCCCCTTCTCGGATTATTTGCTCAGCATAAGCATGGTGAATAAGTATGTTGAAAGGGTCCAACCCTGACACATACCTTTCCTGATTTTAAATCAGGAATGATCACCTTAATGTATTCAGATTGTTTCTTCTTGGCCTAGGTACAGGTTCTCCACAAGTAAGTGTTCTGGAATTCACATTATTCACAATGTTATCTATAATTTGTTATGATCTACATAGTCAATTGTCTTTACAGAGTCAATAAAACACAAGTGAACATCTTTCTGGTATTCTCTGCTTTCAGCCAAGATCCATCTGATATCAGTAATGACATCCCTTGTTCCATGTTCAGTTCTGAATCTGGCTTGAATTTCTGGCAAGTCCCTGTCCATGTAATGCAGCAACAGTTTTTGTTTTTAATTTTCTTCAGCAACATTTTACTGTGTGTGACGTCAATGACATTGCCTAATAATATTCACATTCTGTTGGCTCACCTTTCCTTGGAATGGAGAGAAATATGGATCATTTCCACCAGTTGGCCAGGTAGCTGTCTTCCTAATTTCTTGGCATAGATAAGCAAGTGATTCTAGCATTGCAGCCATCTGTTGAAACATCTTAAGTGAACAATACCTTGGCTTCTAGGTT